TCAAAGAGCTTTAGGGTGACACATCTCTTGTGTTAGCTTCCTATAGTCTGGAGTGCATGGTGTTAGAGGAGGGCATTGTTGTGAGGAAGCAGAAAAAAGAGGCAGTTTCATTGCATGATTTTTAGAGTCTTTTGGAGTAAGAAATTGTTACAACAACAACAAAAGCCATTCATGCAGCAGCTTATCCAAGAAAGAGGTAGCAAAACTCTTTTATCTTCAGTAGGAATTAAGAGTATTATTGTTAATCCTAACAGTCAAAAGAATGAGCACTTGAGAAACATCATATGTTCAAGAAACAGTTTTCTTACAGTGGTAAGATTCCCTAAAAGCTATTATGTGTTTTATACAATAAATGTCCCCCAATGTCATGTAACTTAATACTGACTATAGCTGCAAGTAAAATGTAGATTTAGATGAACACATCAGAAAGTATACCTACAAAAATTTATTCAAATTAAAAATAAGACCAAGAAATTTTTTTCCTCACAAATAGATTAACCCCAATGCTAACTGTATGCCTATTATCCAGTCATTTAGTCCATCCAATTTATGTCAAGGTAACACAAATGCCCATTTTGTCATATGGGACTTCTCTCACCAAGATGTAGTAATAACAAAGATTGAGTTAGAAAAAAAGAGAAAGGATTTATTATGGTTTTGGATGTAGACCAAATCAAGTAAAGGATTGCCTCTTTTGTGAATGTTAGGTGTAATCTTATATTCCCTTATTTCTGTAATAAATATGTAGTTCTGCAGAACAATTTCAGTTTATTAAATACATTCTTTCCATTTTGTCAATTTATTCATTTGTTCGTTTATGAGTCTCAGTATAGAAGTCTTCATCAGCTGGAAAATACTATCCAAGGCAGTGGACAGAACCTTTTCATTTGAAATGCTGACTTTATTCATCTTTGCCATCTGCATGCAATTAAAAAGTTTTTTAATATCTTACTGAACATCAAATTTAGGTCACTCTCAATATACAGAGCTGAGGAATCAGCACTTTTCTTTTATATAATTATGTAGTGAGATTTGGACATTATTGAATAAAACTTCAGAACTTAATTCAATAATATTTAATCGTATGATAGTGCTGGTCCTATAAAAGCAACATTTTATCAGTCTGTGTTTGCTATTTTTTTTAGAGATGTAATGGGGTAAGTCAAGTCCATGCATATCTCTTGTGGCCTTTTCCCTTGCAGAGAAGCCCAAAGAGAAAATTGTGTCAGATTGGATAAAGAGACCTGGGAGTCACCAAAACCAGTAAAGATTTTGGAACCACTGGAATAAGTATTCTGAACCTTTACATAGAACTGTCTCATTATAACCTTTTAAAAACTTAACAAAAATAGACCACTGAGTTTTTACTAGCCCAGACTATTTAAGGTAATGAAATTATAGCCTTCCAAGCCATCAATAACAGTGTGCTCAGTTAGATGTTGTGCAGGACCAAACAAAACACTTCTTTCCCCACCACCAGATTTTTGAAAAATAGTTGGTTTTGGCAAAATTTTCTGGGGCAGTTTTTTCTCTTTTATCACCATGATGTTTTAATCCACACAGCCATTGAGTCAGAAATAAAAAATAAAACCAACATAGATTGGTGTAAAGCGTACCTAGAATTTTTTTTAAACTTTAAAGGAAGGGATAATACAGAGGAAGATTATTTGGGAAAGGAATACTTAAGAATTTTAAAAAAACCCCATGAAAACTAAAAACCCTAAACAATTTGGATGGGCTATGAAGTGAGTGAGGAATGAAAACAATTTCAAGCAACAGGATTCAGAAAAAAAAGGCCAGTCCTATGAAAACATGGTATGCTAAGGATGCTTTTCTGGTATTCTAGTTAATGAAAGGCTAGAGTGAGGTATCTTACAGATCTGAGGAAATATATTCTTGTTTTTGAAATATGATAGACAAATATCTGTTAAGGATTTTCTGGGTAGCCTAGCTTTTGCCTCAGTGTAGTGAGAAGGAAAGGACAATCTTACACAATTTTTCATTTCCCAGCTCTGTATTCTTGTGAGTTATTGACTATATTGCATCTATATTCTTGATTGCCTGTCTCCTAAAAGTAGTCAGTATTCTTATGTCATAAAGAAAGCCTGTTAAAGTTTTTTTTAAGAAAATTTAAATTGCATTATTTTTGACATGTGTGAAAAAAAGTTATACCTAGATGAATGATTTCTTATTGCTTTAAGAAATCTTATTTTACCATATTTTCTTCTACATTGTGTTGTCTCCTGTGATGTGCAAGACTGAGGGATGATATTAGTTTTGTAGTAAGTTTGAAATGTTGTATAACGAAAACCAGAGTGTATGACAGGCATCAAAGGAAGTGGGGTCTCAGTTAGAGTGCATGCAATATAGATCAAACTTTCCATCAAGCACACTTACATCATGGATTATTTTTCCAGGTATAGGTTTTTTTAATCTAAAGAAGTAAGTAATAAACAAGTAGACACTGACACACAAGTTCCAATAATGTGCAGGGTAATGAACTTGGCTGTTAAGGATGAATCACAGGAACTGGATCAGTGCACTACATATTGGCACATTTCAAGGAGTGATGCTGAGGTTTTCACTTTCTGTCCTCAAAGAAGTAGATTCAGCACAGGTAGTCAATTCCTTGTCACCTCAAATTCCAGCAGATCTTGGCATGTGAAGCTTAGGTTTCTAATTAAAAAATAAGAAGAAACTTTTAAGTCAGGTTGTCTTTGGATAAATTTTGAGAGTAAGCACACAGAGACTTTCCTTCCTTTTAGGAAGTCGCTACCTTCAGTTCCTACTGAAAAATCAAAAATTGAACTTCCAGTATTAAGTAATTTCTTTTTAAGTCAGTTCTATTTTATAAAGGAGTCCTCTTTTGTTTACTGTTGTTTCACATAAATGTTTTCAAATATTTTCTATCTCCACACATAAAATGAACCCTTCTTATTTTTTAGTAAGTAAAGCTGCCTTTGAGAAACACAGAGCATTTTTTTAAAAAAATAATATTATATTGGAGAATCTTTACCTTTGATAGCCCAATTTAAATCAGAAATATCACTCTTGGTAGAAAAAGTGGATTTTTTTCTAATATAAATTAAAATATAACCCTTAGATAAGTATCTTTTATTCAGGTGATTATTCAAATCATCTGAATAAAACTAATGAAAAGTGTAATTATAATAGAAATATGTTTTTCCCTCATGTATTATTTTCTAATACAACCAAACTATAGTTTCATATTTAGAAGACACTAAATACTTCCATAGTAAGCATGTCAATGCTTCTAAGTAAATATTAGAATTTGATGTGAGTTTTATAAAGCTAAGGAATCTACTGAATTTAATGAAAGTGAGGGCATTTCTGAGGTATTAGCAGGAAGGAAGAATGTGATAAAGCATTTTTCCTCAAGAGATAAGCATTTGATATGCTTGGTTATACAAGTAGGGATTTCAGGTCTTAACTGGAGATTTGCACTAATTACACTGAATTACTCTGTAAAACAGAAATGAAAGCATTATCTGAACAAATTAGGACAATCTCTCAAGAGACAACAGTGTTAAGAAGTCTTTCATTTTGGGTTTTTGGTTTTTTTTCTTTTCAATCAGCCTTTTACATAACTCACAAAAAAAAATCTATAAAACTCAAAGAGCTTCAAGAGAAGCTGTGATGTAGGAAAATCTCTAAAATTCATTTGCACGGGCCAGGTGTTAACAAAAGTTTTACATCATCAAACATAACAGAAAAATTCACGTAAAAATTGATGTGAAACTTATAGCTCATGCCCTAGTTGTCATGTCTGTGCTTTACTCATCATTGATGTAATTCAGAATTCAACAAATTGTACTTAAAGCCTGTTTCCAAGATAAGATTAGTAAAGTTGCATGCATTCAAAATGCATTAAGGGAATTTTAGAGTTCTGTTTGAATACCATTTGCAACAAAACAGGGAACTAGATAAATTTTCAATCAATGTATCTGTCCATTCTAAAGTTTGCTTACTGGAGTAATATGTTGTAGAAGACACTGTACCTGTTGAAATTACAAACATAATGCTTTGATGACTTCAGGTAATTTTAGGAGTGGGGAACTTAAATGGGCCATGGATAGATTAAGTGCTGTTCAAAACACAAGTAATATAGGGGTACATAAATAAATAAATAGCCTGTCTCAAAAATGCTCCTTGCATCACATCACCTTTCCACAATGGTTTTGGTGGTTTTAATATTCTCCATTTGCCTCACAGTTGCAAACACACCTTGCCATTGTTTAAAACAGTGTGACTTAAACATAAGCATGAATAATACTGACATTTGAATACATTTATATTATATTGTGCTATAAAGGTTTTATCATATGTAAAACCGGAAATTTATAACCCAGTTTTAAACAATAGGCCATACTGAAATTTATAGACTTAGTGCTACTCCTTTTGATAAAATTGAACCAAATTGGTTTAAAACAAATGGAATCTGAATTAAGACACGTATTTCCTTTGTCCTTAACTTATGGAAGCCAATTACCTTAGACTTAGTACAATTTGGAAGGGCACCTGAATGAATCACTGGTAAGTGCTTTGGTGTTGTTCCAAGTTCCAACAGCTGACAGCAGAAGATGCTATAATTTTTTCCAGAAAAGGACTGCCCAGTGGTGCTGTTATGCTCGCAACACATCCCCTAATGCAAGGCTGCTTATCAACTTATCAAGGCTGCTTAGGTCAGCACCAACTTCTATGTGACTATAAGGATCCCCAAATTCCCACCTATGTGAGGATATAAGAGTATAGATAAGTTTGTCAGAAATTAAGAGAGAAGTAGACAAATATCACCTTTCACAAATGCTAGACAAAAGGTATATTCGACAACCCTTCTTTTGATGTGCTCTATTAACCTTATCTTGAAAATAATTGGAATGTGTTTCTGCCAGGAATATGGACTTTTGGTGATTTGTTTCTATATAATTCCCTTGACACTCTTCCTGTTTGTAAATTTTTATGTTTCCTATTCCTTACAGGTGGCCCATGCGCCTGGATATTCTGATACAGCTGAAAAATGGAAGAATAAGGGCTAAGAACAACTGACAGAGCTAAGGCAAAGCACCATGCTTGCCTGGATACCAGCTGAGGATTAGTAGTTGTTGCTCCTCTAATGGATTTGTCTTTTGAAGTCTGTGGCAGTAAGGAAGGAAAAGCATGAAAGTGAAATGAAGCTTGCTGGCACAGACTTCACTTTCAGTAATTTTTGCTGAAGGGAGGACTAGAGGGAAGACTCTTGAACTCTGAGGTAGAAATAGGTAAACTGTCTTCTCTAAGAAGCTTCTTTAAGACTAGCCAGCTGGATTGCAAAGAGGTGGAGAGAAGCACCTGAAATAGGTTTTACAGAAATTTCTTTGGATATATTGGAGAAAGAGAAGTTCTTATGTTGAACCTGAGAGAGCTGAAAAATAAAGCTGGAAGCTGGAAAAGCATGACTGTCAGTTGGCAGTGTAAAAATTGCTTTAGTTAGTCTACAGGATCTGTCTGTTTTGTAGGTTTGACATGAAGGGTTGAAATTCAAAGTCAAAAGACACTGTTTGTCTAATGTTTAGATCTGTGTCCAGCAAAGGCTTAATTTTCTCCTCCAAGAGTACAAATTTTTTTTTTAGCTATTTTTCACTGACACAAATAAACTCCATCAGTGATGCAGGAATGTTTGGTTTTATTTTTTTAAAGCAACTTGTGCCACAGGTGAACATATGGAAACTGCTTATTTTGAGAGTATCTAACTGCATTCCTAAATGACATATATATTTTCTCAGGTTAATTAACATTTTCTGCACAGTATTTGTGAAGCATCCAAGCATGATGATCTCACTTAGTTCCTGTGCCCAGAGCATATGACAAGGCAATTGGTTATTAACCAGCCCAGCACAACAGCACGCCTTTCACAATTGTTTCTCTGAAGAGGAGTTTACTCTGGGTTATGTATACTCTCCAGCTTTCATTGTTTCCTGTTTTCACCCTATTTATTCTCTGGATTATAAGCAAGTGGGACCAATTGATCTTCACCCTGAGTTACTGTTTTGAACCCAGGAGTCTGACCAAGTCTGTCTCATTGTCCATGTTCCAGTCCTATTCTGTTATGTAGAGAAAACAAAGAGCTATTGTGACATTTTCTTACAAATACAATTCCTCAAAAGCAGCGAACCAGACACTGAATCTATTCCAGCACGACACTGCCTTAGATGTGAAGAGTAAATATGAAGTGTTGTAAGCCTTGTTCAAATATGCAAGGCTCATTTTACTCCCATTATCACTCTTCAGATTCCTCTGTATGGATGAACCTCTGGAACAATTTGTTTCAGAGCAGCTACTGTATGTGACACTCATATATCAAAATACCACTCTCTGTGTCAAGGACTCATGAAGGCCTGGATATAACAACCAACTCAGAGCTTTTTACTTATACCTTCATTGCAATTACCTAAGCAATGGAAGCACTTGCCTTCCAATAATTCCTGTTAGGTAGTGAAGCCTTCACTGTCTCAGACAAGGGATGAGAGGAAAGCCATACCCCATTATCTTTGCTGGCTTGTGCTGTAGGGGCAGAATCATGTAGCTGTTCTTGTTCTTTGTCCCTTCTTTTGTTGGCTTATGCTTAAAGAATTAATAACTATACTTCTCAATGACTATGTGCAAAGTTTGCTCAGGAATGCTAAAAATATTTTTGTTTTCTTTTCTGTTTTTATTCAGTCTCAATTTCTACTATTATACAAAGTATGAAAAATAAAGCAAGCTATGAAACTTTGGTGTATAGAACTACTGAAAAGTGTGCCTTTGTTCACAATTATCCTCAAATGATTTGTACTTCATGTGATTAGCTATAATCAGACCTGTTCAATGTTCAAGGGGGAACATAAGAAACTGATCTTTTCATACAAGGTGTGTCTGTAACAGGGTTTGGAAAGTAAAACAGGGTTTTGGAAAGTGTGAGAGTACTATCTGTCCTAAAAATGAATAATGACAGTTTTTAGTGGTTTTTTAACCTCTGGAGCTGAGAAACTGAGAAACAAATAATTGTCTTTTTTTTTTTCCCCCCACCATTCTCATAGTCACAGAATGCATTGGGAATATAAGGAAGGTTCCTGCAAATGAGATGGAGGTGACCAAAAGACATTACTATGATCAGAAACTATGACTCCCTGAAAAGATATGTCATTAATTTTCTGCATGTGGTCCTTGGTATTTTAGAACAAACATATTCATGGAAAAAATACATTGTTTTGTCTCAATTAGTCATCTATGGTGCACAAGGCAGTTGTATGTAGTGATACTGAAGATACTTTCCTTCCAAAGTAGTCAGAGAAAGATGACAATTCCTAGGAGTTTTTATTGACTTTTAAAAGCCTGATAGCGAAGTTATTTAGCCTCTTTATTGACATGGTGATTCACCAGAGAACAGACACAGCCAAAAGAATGATAATAACAATACAGGCAAAGTCAGTGATCTCTTCCAAACACAGAACTTTCAACTACCATATTCAGGTTTCCCCACTTCTGTGAGGAGCAGCAATATGAAAGTATACCCTTCTTTCCTTGGAATATAAAGGTGTGTAAATGGAATACAAGCATTTTCATGTAAGTTGGCAATGTACATCATTATTGCTACTACACTTGAGGTAAAAGAATAATTGAAGCTTAAAATATAATCAGAGATTTTTTTCTTTACTGGCACATGTCTTTATTAATTACGAAGATAATGCGAGAGGATGAAGTATTTTCAATTAAGAAAATCAAAAATTAACTTTTCTTGGATTCTCAGATAAATTATTTTAATAATTACTTTCAAGAAAATATCTAGATAGGATGATTTACAAAACAAGTTCAAATGTGTCATTAATTATGCTGTTGAGTGTATGAATGAATAAACATGAGTGTGTTATATCCAAAAGGGCAGTTCAGTAAATTCTACATTTTGGGGAATCCAGTGCCAACCTAGTGTCCCATGGGTATGGGATAGTGGTAACTAAAGGTGGAAAATCTCAAAAGCAACAAGCATGGAAGGCTAAGAACATGCCAAATAACAATCCATATACCAGAACACACAGTAAATAAAGCCAGGAAGGCAGCAAAAGGAGCAGAGTGTACTTCCTGTGCTATTCTCTCCCTGTGGCTGCACACAAAAACCTTGTCCCTGTGTTCCAGCTGTATCCAGTGGGCACTCTCAGCCCTGTCTGCCCTGTCAGAGCCCTGGTGCTCTTGCTAGCTCTTCCCCTGCACGGAGCAGGCTGGCCCTGCCCGTGGGCAGTGAGTCACGGCAGCGCACGGTACGCTGCACCGCACAGCTCTGAACCAGGGCAGCAAGCCACCAGCTGGCATTAATCAGGGACCATTAGCTATAAACAACCACATCTCCTTTCAGGCCTTCTAAATTCAGTTTCTAACAATTACCATTTCTTCCACATTTCATTTAATTTCAGGCTGTGTGTGGGGAGCAATGAGGAGTATGGATTTCCTGGATCTAGGAATACAGTTTAAAAGTATTTCCTACCTATTTTTTATGGTTTATGTCCAGAAATGGTATTTAGATAGTATTAATTAACACTAATATAAAATATGAAACAGTAACTCTCCAACTTACAGCTTAGTAGCAAAATATCTTACTTTGTACTATTATGCTTCCTATCTTGCGCTGTCTCTGAACATTTTGTGGAAGTCCTGCTGTTGAATAGCTTGCAGCTATTTGGAGTCCTGTGAACTCTTTCCCACATATCTGTATTGCCAGCTAAGCCATATTAAGACTATGGATACCTGTGGTTTTCAAAATGTCCCCTACAATTAACAAGAATTTTTGTTTTTGTTGTTGTTGTTGTAATTGCCAGGTTTGGCCCAACTGACTAAGTCTGTTGACGAATCTTGACACTAAATCACACTTATGTAGGACCTGTTTCCAACCTGCAGCTGCAAACGTTTTGTTCATCTGTCACTTTTGCTGCAGAATCAACAGGCAATAGATTTGTGTCCTAGCTACTCTAGGGCATCATTTCTTCTTCATCCTAAACAGCCTGAAATGGTTGCTAATTTTCCACATATTTAGTTTTAGTCTGACAGCAGGCAGAAATGAGAACCCATAGAAGACAGGCTAAGGATATTCACTGCATATTCCTGGGGTTATTGACTAAATTTTCTTGAGATATGTTCTTCCAATGGTCATTTTTGCTATTTGGGAAGACAATTAGTGTAAGCACAAATCTCATTTTGTTCTACACTTTCCTGCTAATACCGGTCAATAATTGCTAGGAGGCAAGTCTCATTATTTCTTGGAAACTCAAGTTCTGAGGTGTTATTAAGTCCTCCTTAATAGGAGGACTCAAGAGTCACTCTGATCACTCCAGTATGTTGTGAAGTTTGTAATTCACCACAGACTTTTTCCACTCATACTCATCAAAGCAAAAGTCCTTCTAAAGTGCTTCAGATCACTCTAAGATGGCTTTATATAGACAGAACATTCTTTTTCTGGAAAAAGATCTGCAGTAGTCAGAAAACGGGAGTTTAATTTTGGGACATCTTCCTTGTTAGCTACAGATGGTTATCTGCAAACTTTTGTTTAAACCAAAATCAGTAGGAAAGCAACTGTTTCATTTGGGGGGAATCTGTTTGTTGAAAGTAAATGACAGGACTTGAACAACAAAAATGTACAGAATTTTATAAAGAAAACTGGCATTGCTAACACAGTATTCATCCACATTCCCCTACTGGCTTTGCAGTACACTCTGGGGCATAAATGGATACCAATTTAAAGCTAGCTCACAGATCTCTACATAAGTTGCAGTGTGTGCTCTTTGCAGCACAAACATAGTCTGATAAGCTTTTAAAATCATGGAGATAGTTAAACTGCAAGTTGCCCTGTAGTAAATCTAGACATTTTTCTGTATGTTGAACTCAATAAGGGCCAGTAAAGCAATTTAGGCATCTCATTTAGGCATCTCATTTATGGCTAAAGTCCTAGATCTTGAGTTAAGCAGCAATTATTTATATAGTGCCTTTATGTTTATTACTGAGTTGTATTTCAGGATATTACTACGCAATGGGTTTCTCCTACTA